GCTCTTTTCCGGCTTTTCTAAAAGCCGGAAAAAAGTGGCGGACATTTTTATTTAAATGCCGCGGGGGATATTTAAATCCCCCGCGGATTTCCCTATTACGATCTCTGAAATTAACATGCCCCTTTCGGAAAAGGGGCCAGTGTAGACGTAGCCCATATCTGTCTTGACCATCCTGCTAATAGCTCCTGTTTGGCACTAGAACAGTTGGGTTGCAGAAGAGGGAGCAGTGGTTTGAATCACTACAGCAAATCAGGGCCTTCCCTTCGTATTTTGTTTCCCCTAATTTCAGTCTAAATCAGCTGCAGGAGTGGTACCTACGTCTCCAGGACAATGGCAGGCGAGCCTCCTTAGTAGATTGAAAAGAATCCATATTTTTAACTAAAGAGTATCTGTTTTTAATTCTATTCTTCCCTGCACTGCAATAGCCCCTTATAGTGCCCCCTTGCTCTCCACAGAGGCTGCTCTGTTGTGTTGTCTCAGGAGTTTTGGCAGCAGCCTTGGGTCACCACAGTGGGGCCAAGACATCAGTAATCTAGAGTTCTAGGCCTGAGGTGGGCAAGGCCCAGTGGGAACCTTAGTTTGCAGCCCCACAGTAGGGCTGACAACAAATAACTGGCTGAGGGTGGGACTGAGCAGAGAGCAGGCTTTAACCCTGGCTTGGACGCAGGCAGCCAGCAAACACATACAGCCTAGTGGAGCAGGTAAGGGGGAGGGCCTTGCCAGTGTAGGGCAATTGGAAGCAGGTTAAGGAGAATGCTCATACAGTCTAGGGATTCAAAGAGGTTTGTGCAACCAGCAGGCAATCCAGGGAGCAGCAGTCACTCCAGGTCTTTCCTGGAGCAAAGGCCTTCTGGTGAAGGGTGGGGAGTCAGCTGCCCTGGCATGCAGTGGCACTATACTCCCTTCGGTGGGTAGAGCCATACTCGCCCCTCCTCCCTCACTAGAAGTACCACAGAGGGACCAGGAGTATAAAAGAAAGGGCCCTTAGCTCAGTTGGGCAGGTGTCCAGGGAGGAGAAGGATGGCTGTGATGTGCTGCAGCCCCAAGGAGGAAAACCTGTGCCCAGCTGTCCTCTGGCTACAGAGGCAAAGGGAGCCACATTTTTGCCCTTGTGCTACAGCGTCATTACAAATGACGACTCATATAGGTTCTGGATCTTCTGATGTCTCTTAAAATGAATCACCTGCTAGCCATTGCTATATTTCCTATAGCCTGTATTTCCCCTGTGAGCAAAGCATGTCACTTTTTCCACTTTGGGCTTTGCTCATCACCTGATCTGGGATGAAAGTTGGTAACCGCACATTGTGCTGTGCTGTGCTGTGCATGCAGAGGAAATGCCTACAATAGCAGTGTAAACTGTGTCAGTGCCATTAGTGACATTGTAACATCTCCAAAATGGTCCATTCTGCTCCATTCCCCTGGTAAAAGACTTCTCTAGGTCCTGGCCATCTTCCTTTGCAAACACTTTAACCCCCAGCTTCTCATCTTCCACTCTCTGATTTGCACATGTTGCTGCTTTTCAAATTATCTAAGAGGCATGCTCTTTTGACTAAAAAAGTCTCCCAACAGATCCCTCCTTCTCACCATCTTCTACATCACATCCAAGCCCCGTGTCCTCATCACAAAAGCAATGCACACTTTAGGTATTGCTTGCCTCTCTGAACTGATTTATTTTTGGCCCTCCAGCTTGATCACTTTCACTTACCAACCTTTATGCCTTTCATTTCTTTCTTCCAACCACTTCTCCGCGCTTCTTTCCACATGGTCCTTTATGTCTGGTCACCTCCACCACCACCCATGAGCTGGTCCACCGTACCACTCCACTCCTCTCAAGTCCTTCCTGAGCTCACTCCTCTTCCATGAAGCATATAAACCCCGAACCTCCGCTAAGTGGAGCTGCAGGATTGAGTCCTCATTGCCTTCACCTTGATTCCATGAAAGCAAAATTTAGAATCCTAGAATCATAGGGTTGGAAGAGACCTCACGAGGTCATTAAAAATCATAAAAGGTATTTGGCTAGATTTCATAGGTACATTGATCTCATAAAGCGTGGCCCCAACAAGAAGTAAAAATGTATGTTCCTCTTTTTAAACATTATTTTTGTGAATTCTGTCATTAAAATAATAATGAACTATAATAGTTCTCCCAAATGAACTACAGTCATCTTGTGTATCTAATTTGAACCTGGGTAATGGAGTCATACATAGGGCTAGCCTAAACTGCGTGGTAGGCAGCATCAATGGGGGGAGTGAATTCTCTCTCATATGCACAAACATTATATTAACTGGCCTGGGTGGACCGTGCTGCCATCCACTAAAAATGCCTTAGTGCACATTAACATAGCCTGTTCCAAATAGAGTGATGCAAGTCTAATACTTGTTGTCATTTATTGTTATATTACTGCTTAGGAGCCCTTGTCACACTGAAACTGCGTTAGCTGCTGTACACAGAGCAAAAAGACAATCCCTGCCCTAAAAAGCTTACAATCTCAGTACAAACCAAGAGACAATATATGGTAACTGATAGGGAAGCGTATGAAAACAATGAGACGGAATCGGACAGCATGATAGGCAATGGGATCAGCACATTAGCATAACAGTTCTCAAGCTTTTTGAAGGCGTCATGGGAAAGAAGAATTTTAAGGCAGTTTTTGAAGGAAAATAATGTGATAGTTTTGCAAATGTGCAGAGAACATACACGAACTTAGATTGTACTTAGAGTGCAGCAATGTGTACTCATACAGAACTGATAGTTACTGTTAAGTTACTGTTAGCTTCATAGTTATTTTAAAATGAAGTTAGTGATGTTTTGCATGGAGAGAAGAAAAGGCAACGGAAGCTAATGTACTGGAATTAGTATGAAAGCTCCTTCTTATAGAATGTCTATGAACAAAATTCACTGCTGGCATAACTCCACTGACTACGATAGAATTACACCAGTAGATTAGATTGGTATGGCAAGCGCTGTATAAACACATACTGAATCTTCCCATTACAATGTTTTAGATTGCATCTCTCATTCTTTCCCTTTAATATGTATGCTCAGTGGAATTGGTGGAAACATACCCAAGAACAGAATTCGGTCCACATAAAAAGTCTTATTTATACCAAAGATCATGTGCTGTAATCTGTGGGTTCACTGAAGTTCCATCTTTTCCTTTTTATTAAAAAAAATTCATGGCCTAATGCTATCCTGCTTTCCCTAAAATGTATGGTAAATCTCGTTACTTAAAGGAGAACAAGGTTGAGCTGCTTTTCTGTCGTGTATTTGAGTCTGGGCTCTGATATGTGTGAACACAGTGGCTGTGTCTACATTGGCACCCTTTTCCGGAAATAAAGCCTTTTCCGGAAGATCCCTTATTCCTGATTTTAAGAGGAATAAGGGATCTTCTGGAAAAGGCTTAATTTTCCGAAAGATCCAGTCTAGACTGGCGCTTTTCTCCGGCAAAACCCCGAGCCGGAAAAAAGCGGCAGCCATGTTCATGCAAATGCCGCGGGGGATATTTAAATCCCCCGCGGCATTTGCAATTCCGACTGGTCTCATTAGCATCCCTTTTCCGGAAAAGGGTGCCAATGTAGACACAGCCAGTCAGTGTGCTTTGTAAGGTCTTTGTTTTCTGACCAATTAGAATCAGTTCTGACAGTTTTTGGTGCATCAGCCTGAAAGCTCTATTTCTAGTTTCTTTCATTCAGAGTAAATCAAAAGTATAAATAAAGAAGACAAATATAAGGTAAAAGCACCTAAGTCATCTTTGAAAATGGAACTTAGAAACTTAAACTTCATCAAAAATTAGTGGGATTTAGACATCTAATTCATTTTTGAAACTGTGACTCCTTGTCAATTATTGTATTAATGAGCAGCAATATTGTCATTTGTTTTTTCCTATTGAAATACAGGAGGCCCCTGACTTGCGACATAATTGGTTCAGCGGGAAGCATCACAAGTTGGGGGCATTGTAACTTGAACCCTCATTTATGATAGGTGCTGTGCGCCATCGTAAATGTGGGCTGAGGACATAAGTTGGGGGTTTCTGGTCCCTTCTGCACTTACAAAAATGGTTGAAAGTACAGGTGGTTGGAACTCAGGCAGTCATACATTCAACCTCAATCTAGAAAGAGAGATTAATTACTCTTCTTTACTAACCACACATCTGAGTTTGACAGCTATGTATATTAATTCATCCACTCCAAATGTTTCACAAAATCATCATTAGAAGCTGGAGCATTATATTTGCATGTATACTCCAAGGATAATTTACAAGTCATTAAGTGCGCTTTTGACTTTGTGGTTAGGCCATAATTTCAGAACTCTGAATGTAATTGCATATGAAAAAATAACGTGCAGTAGTGAAGCAGGATCTGATCTAATGCCCTTTGGAGTTAATAGAAAGATTCTCATTGACTTCAATGGGTATTAGATTGGGTTCCTAATATACACACCTAAAAACTTTAATTGCATGCAGAGTCAGGTATTTGCCTTGCATTAACAAATGTATAATTCTGTAAATCCAGACCTTATAACATAATTGTTATAAATAAAGCATTTGTGCTGTGATCAAATGTAGTAACAGATCAGTCTTTTAAAACTATTGAAATATTACAGCCATCAACAAAAGAGGTTATACTCAGAACAGGAAGTGCTCTTGTGGGAAAACAGTTTGTAGCTAGTGGTCTAAACACAGCTAATTCTCAGAAGGGAAGTTCTGTAGAGCTTTAAAAAACAGAATTAAATTGTTGAACAAGAACTTCATAGCTCAGTTCTGTGATAATTCACAGGTTGCACTCTTTTGCGTTAGAGAATGTTTATCAGGAGATTGGGTCAAGCCCACTTAGAGGTATAACTGGTAACGCTTGTAGTTGAAAGCATGCAGTTTTTTGATTTCCAATATTCCAGCCTTTTATATGCAGTCCAAGCTTCTTAGGAGGCTGCCCTGTTATGCAACCATAAAACATTGACGGGATCTTCATTGTCATAAAATAGACCCTCCCAAAACTGTAACATCCTGAGCACCACTGTTTATCCTCTTTTCATTTCTTTAATGCTCATGAAAGCGTATGCAAGTCTCCACTGTACATAGGCTGAAAGTAAGAAGACAGTGTTCTTTGATAATAATAGTGAAAAGCTCCTAGGTGATACCAAGTTGGGGAATCTGAAGATTAATTTGTACTAAGCACAACTGGACATAATAGAGTAAAAACAATGGACAAATATATCACCACAACTGTTCACAAGGAGCTCAATCTGGATACTGATGGGAGTAGAAATGGAAAGAAATTGTTTGCCATGTCCCCTGATGAACCATCCAAATGAGACGAGAAAAAGTTTGGGGAATCCCATTAATTTTGCACCTGGCTGTATGATGCAAGTAACTGTTTCAGAATTGCTCACATGGAAAACAGAGAAGGGGAAGCTGCATACTACAAGTTAAATGCAAGCAAGAAACTCTTTTTTTTTTTTTTTTTTTTTTTGATTATGCATTCAGGGCTTTGTTCTGAGCCAAATTGTCATGTAAAGTTTTGTAAATGAGCTTGGCTCAGATGTTGTACGAAGGAATTCTCACCTTTAATTCTTTCTAGTGTTTTTAATTGTTTGTTGATCTGGCTAAATATTTTGTTTTTATTTCTTGTCAGACAGATACAATTGCATGGGAAATAAGAACTCTATACTCATCAGTACCTGAAGACGCAGAACAAAAAGCAGAAAATTTATTTGTTAAAGAGGTAAATATCCAGCAGCTCTACTTCTTGATTATAAAGAAATCCTTTACAAAGATCACCTTTTTTGTTGTGTTTAATTAGTTTAATGTTTATTTCTCTTTTGTTTTAATCATATTTTTTAACTACAGGTTGAGCCTCTCTAGTCCGGAAACATTCATGGTCCGGCATGTTTAGTTAGCTAGATGTCCACTTATCATGGGTGTGGCCAAGTTTCTCTCCATCCCATAGTTTATTTACAGCCACCAGTCCTGGCTCTCAGTGTTCTGTTCTGTTATTTAGCTCTAGTTTACCCCTAAATGTCTTCTATAAGCCCAGGAAGGTGTGGAAGTGTTGGTAATGCTGCTAGAAAATATTGACCTCCATGGTCTGGCAAATTCTCTGGTTCAGCACTGCTCGGGTCCTGAGAGTGCCGGACTGGAGAGGTTCATCCTGTAGTATGATATTGTGGGGTGTTCTGATTTGCATCTAGAAACTTGCAATTGTATTGTGCTTAACTTTCAGATGTCATTGTTTTAGTCCTGATGATCCTTTTCTATTAGACAAATTTCTGAACATGAACACTGAACTCTAGTGCCAGCAAGACCTGGGGAGTGTTGTTCCTTTCATTAAAGTTAGATGTTTTGCAGAACATTTTGGAATTCTTAACACTAGTGACACCTTGTTAGATCTTTATTTTATTTTGAGGCTTGTATTGTGGATGAGGCCTAGATTAGGGGCGAGGAGGAAGAATTCTGTGCTATTGTCAGTGGCTGGAGGCATTGCACCTGTATGGCACACAGGCAAGCAGAATGCTTCCCAGGTACTTGAGCAATGCAAGCAGGAACAGAGTTGTTCCCAGGCTGCAGAGCAGGAGAGATGCATGGTTTCAAGAACTGCTGGTGATTTTATGACCCCCCTGCAGCTTGCCTTAGAACAGCATTTCTCAAACTTTGGGAAGGCTGCTAATGGGATGCTCCGGTTTATTTATCTAAAGGCTCCATTGCCACAGAGCATCCCAGCTCCTGTTGGCTCTGATTCACTGTTTCTAGCCAATAAACAAACCAGAGTGGCCTGTTAGCCCGCAGCCCACTTTGAGAAACGTTGCCTTAGAGAGATTCTGGCTGCTATTGCACAGGAGCTCAAGGGGTGGACTGCTCCCTGCACCTTTTCGAGGGTGTGCATAAGAAGGCAGAATGTGACCTTACATTTGTATTAAAAATATACATATATGAAACCACACTTCAGCCTGCTTCCATATTACATGCAATGGTTTTTATTTGCATGCACAAATAACCATAGCCCCTAAAATGCATGTGTGTACCCTGTTTTTTCCACTCAGAGGAGTGAGACACTTCAGAAGGAAAACTTAGCTCCACACAAAAAAGTAGACAGAAGCCCAGGCTGAAATTTTGGCCTACAGATTCCTGTGCAGCATAGCACTTTACAAGCTGGCCCTGTTTCTTTCTCCATCTGTCTGGCTAGAAACTCACTGCCAGCTCAAACTCTGTCTCTTCCTACCACCTTTCCAATTCTGACAATTGGGCTGGAGAAGGAGGCAAGTCATGTCATTATTTCCCTTTTTTACTTTTCATTCGGGTGGTGTCTTTTTGTTCTGTAGTTCAGGGCTCTACAAATTGTAAACCAGCACTTTTTCCATTGCTGTGCTTGGAAAAAGGAGTCTAAAAATGGAATGGAGTGCACAATATCTGGGAATTATTACTGCTGAATGCTCCAAGGAGGTGCTAATGAAAAACTGGCAAACCCCTAAGCCTTCTCTGAGAGAGCCAAGAATAAGAGAGAGTAGTAGAACAATGGGGAAAAAACTAGCACTAGAAATTTAGGATTACAGTGGGAGTGCTGTACATGGAACAGTGGTAGGCTAAAGCCCTTAAACTAAATTTTAAAATAGAAATACATGTGTTCCACTTCACGCTTCCAAGACAAAAATATATGAAGTAAATTAGATTCCCTAGCTGGAAACAGTTTTTAATATTCAATCGTCTCCTTACTCTGCATAAACATAACACTAAGGTCCTTTGGAGCCAGGGTATTCTTGGAAATGAAGATATAGGGTATAGATATTCCCTTCTCATTCTAACAAAATGTCACCAGATGTAGTATTACAAATGAAGGGCCACAGGACTGATATGTGGGTGAGTCCCCTTTCTTTCGGAAGCTGGATCTAAGCTTAATGATAATGGAATGAGCCCACACTACTCATCTTCTCATTGCTCTTAGGAGATTTTTTTTTCTTATGGCAAAGGGATATCAAAAGAATGGTTTATTCTTTCAAGGCTGACAGCAGGTTGAAAAATTAAATTGGATACCCAGATTTATGAAGATCCCAGAAACTTTATAAGCCAGAGAAAAATAAGGTCTTGGGTTCCATTTGTCTAAAACACCCCTAAAGGCACTGAATTGTGGTCCCAGTTTTGTTGTCTAAATATTCTTTCATATTCTTCAGTATTCAATTATCCTTCCTCGCTGCCCCAGCCATGGCTTAGTGGCCAGGGGCTAAAATATCCAAATAAACCCCTGTAATTTCATCTTTCTATATGGTACAATTAGTCATCTATATTTTCCTTTCAGTGCTGGCAGGGATCTGACTGATCCCAACACACAAAGATGAATTGGTCCCATTACTTTGTTGAATGTAAGCATCCATGTAAAAGGAAAGATTCTCAGTGTAACCTCGTACAGTCCTGACTTCTGGACTATGCAGATAGATTAGTGGTCCTCACTATTTTTGCACTGGCAATATAAAGGATTATGGGATTGTGTGTGTTACAATTAGTGATAAAATTCTGGGTACCAAAACTTCCTGTGGTATATAACTGTAATGTACCTACCCCTGTTGCAAGCTGGTGTGTGCATCTAAAAGGGAAAGGGAACAATCAGAGAGTCACTGTCAGTTTCAGCCTTCCAGCTTCTTTTACAAACAATTATGAGAACAATACTCTCTCTAAAAATGATAGCTATCACTATATATATTTTGGGCAGGGTGTGATAAGGGCCAGGTGGTGGCTGGTTCTGAAGGATGTGCAGGGGAGGAAGGAAGATAATGCAGGTTGGTGAGGAAGTGGGTTGCAATAAGTAGCAGCACTCCCAGTCCTTGTGAATTGTGGGTCTGTTCCTTTGCCCACTGAAGCCAATGAAAAGACTCCTATGTACTTCTGAGGCCTTTGGATCAGAACCTAGTGTCCAAGAAGATCTTTGGCCAGACACGTTGAACTCCCCAATACAGGAGCTGGGCTCTGGCTGCATCCAGGTCTTACCAAAGTGGAAGGAGCACATGTTGCACCTTTTAAATGCATGTAGTGATGGCTGTTCTACTCTGTACTTCCCCAACATTTCCAGAGAAGTGTGCTGCTTTCCTTCTACTCTATGGGCCTGACCCAAATCAATAGAAAAACATTTTCTATGGGCTTTGGTTTAGCTAGAATACCTGCAGCTCCTGCTAGCATTTCACCGCATCTTTACCATTAAGAGTTGTCCTTAGCTTCTTCCCAGTGCAGTTTGTTGTCCAGTTGTTCCTTTACAGACTGTGACAAACAAGATTAATAAGGAACTGGAAACCAGGTATTAAAGGGATACAGCATCTGTTAACACCTTGCATGTGACAGCTGCAAAATCTAACCAATGTATTTGAATACAAGATTTTTGAGTAAACAAACCAAAGTTTAACAATATCACCAGAGTACAAGTGCTACTTCTTCTCCAAAAACAAACCTAAAGGGTTCAATTCTCTTTTGTTATGCACCCTGTGAGTCTTTTAGGGTATGTCCATACAGTAGCACATAGCTCGAAATGAGATATGCAATTTGAGTTAGGCAAATTGTGTAGCTTATTTCAAGATAGCCTATTTCAAAATTTGGCACTAATTTAGAAATAGAGTACTATTCCAACGAGTCCCTTAATCCTTGTGCAGCAAGGTTTACAGGATGGCAAAATAACAAACCCTTTATTTTGAATGTATTTCTTGCTTTTAAGATGGCCAGAATGCTTTTCGGGATAACGGACGTTATGCCAAAATAGCACCGCTGTGTAGACGTACCATTACACTTCAGTGAATGTGCAGAAGGCTTCCATTTCAGAATGGCAACATTTTACACTCCACACAGACGTAACTATTTCTGTGTGATACAGGGCAAACGTGTTTTGTAGAGTTGTTGGGTCAGAATAGCTTTCTTCTTCCACCTTAGAAATGGCTACATTTTATCCTTACAATTCATAAAAATCCTCTTTAAAGTACTTGGGGATCCTTTCAGATGAAAAGCAATATATCAAAGTGAAGTAATAATAATTATTATATCTTTAACATTGACATTTAATTTAGTAGATATATGTGGTTTGTTTCAACGTACCCACTATAGTAAGATTCTTTAATGTATATTCCTTTTTAGTTTAGGCTTCCTAAAAACACCAACAACAAGTAATACAGTAAAACACCAATAGTCCAGCATCCAATAGTCCGGCACTCCTGATAGTCCGGCATCACAATGGCAAAAGCCTAGTGAGTGAGTGAGCTTCAGCAAAAAATGAGTCACGAGTTAACAGCGGCAGCAGCTGAACTGAGCAAAAAGGGTAAAAAGGGCTTAAAAAAACTAAAATATTACAGTATACCTTGGCTGTATCTACACTGTACCCCTTTTCTGGAAAAGGGATGCAGATTAGACACTTCGGAATTGCAAATCCGTGGGGGATTTAAATATCCCCTGCGGCATTTGCATTTACATGGCAGCCGCTTTTTTCCGGCTTGGGGATAAGCCGGAGAAAAGCGCCAGTCTAGACGTGATTCTCTGGAAAATAAGCCCTTTTCCGGAGGATTTCTTATTCCTACTTTCAAAGAGAATCTTATTCCTATTTTCCGGAGAATCGCGTCTAGACTGGCGCTTTTCTCCTGCTTATCCCCAAGCCGGAAAAAAGCGGCAGCCATGTAAATGCAAAAGCCCCGGGGGGTATAAAAAGCGGCAGCCATGTAAATGCAAATGCCGCGGGGGATATTTAAATCTCCCGCGGATTTG